ACTTCATGATAAAACAAGTAATCAACAGGAAGGATATTCAAAAGATGATAATGGTCTATTACATGTACTTTATTTACTTGCTGAATACAATGGTTTTTAATTATTTAAAACACTGACATCATATGAGCAACTGTTCTACTGTGTTAAAACTTACAGAAATATCTTGATTTGAGCAAAGTGAAGCCCCAGTACAACACTGCTATTCCATTTTGTCTGACAAGGACAGAAAGTACCATTGCATGTTTAGAAACCACAGAAGGCAAAGTTCACCACTATGTTGGTGGCCAATGCATGCTCTGCGATTCCCATAAATCTTTTCTTTCATGGTCCAAATCCAAGCCTCCAATTCTTTTCCACAATTGTGTTTAGCAGTTGAGCCTGAATTCCTGCACATACTTCACCTACGTTCCATTTATTATCACAGGCTGTACAAAAATCTTATCCTTGGTATTACGAAGCTTACCTTTGTAAGAACAAATGCAGCCTGTCCTGGGCATATTTCACATGAGAAGTTACTAGCTAAAAGACAATAAAATGCTTCTAAGTATAAAAAAAAAAAAAAAAAAAGCTTTGTAAATCATTTTCAACCACAGCAACTTGCTTTTGACTCAGCACATGAGACTGACTCACACGAATGCACTGGGCAGCACAATGGGGACAAACCCAGTCAGTGAAAGGGAAGAAGGAGACAACTGGTGCAGAGCTGCAGACAGAGGACATGGCTTCTGAATGAGTCTTATGAGGAGGCACTGTCACAGACTCTTGCAAACGTTTCAAGACATTGTGTGTCAGCCATGTTGTCAAGTCTAACAAAAACCCAGCAAGCATTATTTACATAAAGGCCTTTGTAGTGTTGTGTCATTAAAACATCAGGAAGGATGAAGGATGACTTTTCTTTCCTAAGTTGATATGATTCTGAACAATACACCATTGAGTATCAAGATAAAAGATGCATTTTGTCTGTTTGACTGTTCTTGTACAAGACAGACATGTCTTGTGAAATGATTCCAAACTCATTACTGCTATCCCTGCACTTCTCCATTAGCCATATTACAGCTGGACTAGCTCATGTCAAGGATGCCTACATCCTTGCATTCAGATGCAATCACACCACTGCAATCAGAACAGTATTCTTCAGTAGCAGAAACTATAGGCTTTCAGCATTCTTTGGCTTCCGTGGTTTAACTAACTGAAACTCAGCAAGATAAACTAAAGAACAGAAAGTACCAACATTCAGAAAAACAAACATCTGAATATGAACACGTTGCTGTTAATATCCTTTAGTATTCAGTTTTAATGAAATTCACAGTCAGTCTGTACTTTAGCACAGATGCATTCAAGACTAGTAATTACTTATTCTTGCTTCACCTTGATTCCAATTCCACCATGATAATATAACACTTCTCAACTCAGATTACAGCTTCACGAGAAACAAGTCTGTGTTCTAATACTCCAGTAGGTGACTTCCATCTTAACTGGAGAATCCTGGGTAATAGAAAACAAGTCTTTCCAACACAGTTGGGCAGTGGCAAGTCCATTCATTCTGGCACAAGACAGGGAAGAGTCATACAGGTCACCAACCATGATTGCACTTGCAATCACTGGGGGGGTTCCTTCCAGAGCTGGTAGTTCAGACAAGCCATCAACTACCTAGTCAGTGCAGCCACACTCAGGATACAGGACACAGCCTCAGGACTTGAACTGCTACAAGTATCATCAGCAGCTAGGACTGCACAGCCACTAGTGAGCATGAAAGCACTAGTACACACTTTGGGGCACATTTAAGGTATATGTAAAAACGAAATCAAAAATAGTCTCCAAGCAATACAGTTTAAAAGGCCTCGCTTGCTCCAGCTGTATGTTTTGTTTTTTTTTTTTTTAAATTCTCTCCATCTTGAAAAGCAAAATCTGATCAGATATCTAAGTAGGACAGAGATATTCATGCAGTTTGTTCTAGGTGGGTTACATGTTGTCAAATACCATAAAACAACTTATGCTACAACCTTATCGCCTGTAGAAGCAGTCAAACGGCAGCATAAATCCAGTTCTTTAAATGCACTAACTTAAAAACATCTGAGACTTGCCCACACCAGATGTATTCAACAGCCCATAATGCTAGGCAGTTTTCTTTCTCTTACATTCCTGATTGTTAAAAAAAAAAAAACAAAACACAACAAAGGAGTTTTGACTTCTGTATTCCTTACTTCTGGCTGCACAAAGCCATTATTCTAAGCTGCATGGTATCATAGTTCAAAACTAATATTGAAGCAACACAGAACCCTCTTGGGACTCTGGGAACAGTAATTTGAGCCTTCTGAGACTAAAGACAGATTACCTGCCCAAGAAATGGGAGACATGCTCCTTACTACATGCTCTATTGCAGCCAAATCTTCATTCTGGCAGTGAGAAGCATAAGGAATCAAAAAGCTCCTGCACAATGGTAAGGTTCAGCTGATACAAAGATCTTCTGTTTACCAGACTGAGTTGGCTATCCAATTTAAAGTAGATTTGTTTGTGCAGATGAGATGTACTAAACTAGCTCAGGTTTGGTGCTGCTGCCAAGCTAAGAAACCCTGCAAGAATCCAAAGTGACTACAGACAAAGTTCTAAGCCTGAAACAGTAAGTGCCGCCAAATCTGAGCCAGATGAGATATCAGTACACAAGGGATTAATTTGAGAAAAGCCATACAGACTCACTTAAGTTGGTTCTGGCCAGAGCTGGCTTAGCCCAGCAAACTTACCTCAGTACCAGTTCCAGACAAACACTGCTTCACGCCTAAGCTGGCTCTACAATAAGTACTATGTTGAGAACAAGGAAAGGGGTCCACTGTCTTCTAGTTTGGTTTCACAGAAACCACTTAAGGTTCAGAAAAATGAAGTAGCACTAACATTACAGTGGTTGCTTTTTCTCCAGAGTATCCTAGTTCCTACTATTCCTGTCAGACTCAGTTGGAATCTGAGCATTCCTCCTCATTTTTTTCTCCTCCTCCACTCCAAGAATAAGTCAAGCCATCTCTTGGTGATGCAAAGTTGACTACATATGAACAGCAACACCATCACCTTTTCCTTCAATCATGTTCTAAAAATCAGAGTGAGTCATGAGTCTTTTTACAAAAGGACAAGTTAGACACACCAATTTCAAAAGAGGATTCTGTGATTCTCTGGCTGCAGATGCAGACAGATTTCAGACATCTCTTCTCCTTGTTATTTTTGACCATTAAACCCAAAGACCCCGTACAGTGGCGTAGCAATTGGACAGATCAATATAAAGGGAAAAGCATTACAACAGAGGTATGATGACAGAAAGATAGGCACAATAGAAAGATGCTATGAAGGAAAGGAAAAAGATTGCTCACCTGTATTAGAAGATTCTAGGCTCACAGGGGAAAGCTTTACCAAGGAGCAATCTCCAGAAATAAGTCCTTCCCCAGTGGCAGTCAGTCCTTAAATGCAGTCTAAGAGAGGTGCAGCCAGGCTCCACCCCTTCTAGTCACACAGCTGAATTGCCTTCACCTGTGCTCCCAGGGCTAAAGGGGGTCCTTTCCCCAGGTGCTCAATCAGTGGTTCAGGCCATGACTCAGTTCCCATACAAGTAGCAACACTATCACAAATCTAGTTTTTAAGTGTCTGTCTTCAGTGCATTTTATACAGAACATAATGCAGCTTAGATTCAAGTTTCAGGTAAGAGCCTGAAGGTAAGGTGTGGCAATACTGAGATTATGCTAAAAGCTCATTGAGTTTTGCATTTAGTTTTTGTTCTAGCTGTTTATTTTCATACTTCTCTTCCTTGTAGGGGTCTTAATAAAACAAAGTATCCAAAGTCTTTAGCAAGGAAAGCAGAAGGCTGAGAGGTCATACGAAGCTCTTGAGTGAATGAGTATTAATGGCTGTTTTGCATCTACTGATATTTTTCAGTTCACATAAACATCTTAGACCTCTTCTGAAAATAAGAAAACGTTTAATATGCATTTTGCAATCAACAAACGAGGAAGATGACAGGCACTGTGAGTAAACCACTGCTACAGCTAGACCTCTGCCACAACCTGGAAACTGGAATTGCAGCCTTGGAGGTTGACTGTCAGCTGCATGGCACTGCACAAACAACAGATCAACAACAACCCAGTGGGGAAGTGCAGCATGTAGAGAAACATAATTCTGTTCAGCTTTGGTTTCACATATACATCACTCTCAACATTGCTTTGTTATGTGGTAAACATGTGCTAAAAATATTTACTTGAAAAAATTACATCTTAATGAAGTTTGAAAGAAATGCAAGGCGATAATCAGAAAGCTCAACTTTTTCATGTCACTGATGAAATTAACTTTTCCTTATTAGCAAGCATCATAATTTGGAGTCTTGATTCATACCTGACTTTTAAAATGATTCTTCCATTTCCACTTACAGATAACTTACGTTAATGTCTAACTCTGAAGTTACAAAATATAATGCCACATACAGTAAGTCAGTATGTGATGTTACAATGAAGTAGCAAGCAGTTTGCACTTTATCTACCCCTGCAACTCCTACTGAAAAACCACAGCCATTCACACTACCGCAGGAACACAGATAAAATACATTCAGTGCTTTGACTTCATAACTCTTGTTTCTGAGGAAAGCATACAAAACATAATGAAATAAAACAAAGGTATTCAGTTACATTCTGCGCAGTAGTGGCAGAACTCTAGATAGGATAGCCTGCAAAAATTCAATGAAATGATCTTACATTTACATCTCTGTAAGCTGAAAGAACAGATTCTGGAGTCTACTTCTCTTTTGCATTTAATTTTTTGAGGCTAGCCACACTGTTGTAAAGTAAATGCAAAGTCACTGCATAATGTTATCTGCAGAGTGGTGATGCCGCGCTGATGTAAGTGCTGACACAAGTGCAAGGCAGAGGAAAAAAAAAAGAAAAAAGGCTGAGGCAGGTAACAGCTCAAATTTCCCTCCCCAAATCTTCTAGGCTTCCTTACACAGTTTAACTTCTTATTTTTGTGCTCACCAAATCCTGAGGCTTTTAGATATCTGCAAGACTTCCAGCACACGTTGCCTTCCAGTTCTCACTATCAGCACCAAGCAGTTGCTTTGCAGGAAAGATTGGTCACACACAGGAACGCCCTCTCCTCATGCTGCAAAGCCACACCTCTGTACTCCAGCACATCTTCTGCTGGCATCGCTGGAAGATCTTCAGTGCTGCAAAAGTTATGGAGAGAATGAAGCAGCACAGGGCTATCCTTGTGTCTGGCACACAAATCCATCAGAAGCTGCTTTTGTGGAGTGCAGGATCTGCCCCCAAAGCATCAGTTACCACAGGGATGCGATGAACCATTACAAAAATAAAACCCAAGCACAAGCTGAAGGAAGGTCCCCTGGTGCTCTAACACCCATTTTTCTTAATCACCTTTCTCAACTGCAATTAACTCATCCTCCTCCACCAACTCTGCCTTGGGTATTAGTGCCACATACTGGAAATCGCTGTAACATGTTACAGGATTTCATAAAACAAAACAAAGCACACCAACTTTATGCAGTACAGCTAGGGGAAAAGAAAGATTTGCACTTGTCTTCCTCATGCAAACATCCACAACTGTAACTTACACCCAGCTATCCTGCTGGGCCAACAGGCAGGATCACACTCAGGTGCGCCAAACAACAGATACTGTAATGAGGATTACCAGGAGACGCTTCAAATACGCTTGACTCCTAGTAGGACGCCCAAAGCCCTAGTGGTAGCACACAGAAAAACTCTCACCCCTACCCTGTGCTCAACTGGCTGCCCGCTCGCCCTCAGCATCCCCATAAGCACGCCCACCTCAAGAGCGCTCAGTCCGTCCGTCCGTCCCTTCCTCAGCTCCTCCCACCCCACCGCTCTTCTCACGCCCCCCCTCCCGCGCACCGCACCTACACTTGCTTGCTCACTCCTTCGCCCGCCTCCTTGCTTCGTGCCGTGTGATTGGCTATCCATAACAGGGCCCCTCCTCCCGCCCCTCGCCGATTGGCCGCTGTGCCCGCGCAGCCATTCGGTTGGATGCCGCGCTGACGAGCGGGTGGGTGGGCGGACGGTAGCGGCGCTGCCATTGGCGGGAAGGCGCGGGCCTGCGAGCTGTGCTGGGCCGGCCGGCGGGACGAGGGCCCAACTGCTATTGTTGCTGCATCGCTGAGGAGAGCGGCCGGCGCGCAGCCATGAGCGGCGGCGTTTACGGCGGAGGTGAGTCCGGCACCGCGAGACCGCTGAGCTCGCGCCGTCCCGTGAGGCGCCGCGTGCCCGCCCGTCCCGCCGCTCCCTCGGGGCCCAGCAGCAGCGCGGCCCCGGCCCGGCTCCCTCCCGCCGCGCCGCTCCCGGCCCCGCCGCTGCCCTGTGCGCGAGGAAGAGGAGGCCGCCACGGACCTCGTCCGCGCCTCTACCGGCACCGCTCCGCCGAGAGGCGGCCCCGGGCTGGTGGCGGTGCTGCGGTGCCGGGCGGGAGTCTGAGGGTTTGGATTTCTTTAAGAAGTCGTAGAAGATCGGAGCCCCGGGCAGGAGGGCGGTTCGGAGTGCGGCACCCCAACCTGCGGGGCTGGGGTGTCCGGCTCCGGCTGCCCACGCTCGGGTTCCGGCCGACTCGGTGCGATGCCGGCCTGCCTCGGTTCTTGCGAGTTTTTGACAGCTTGGTGTCGGAGTCGGCGCTCAAATGTCTGTTTCCGTGCATCGCAGATCACGTTGCTTTGTTTAAAGCTCACCCTGTGCCACCCCCTGCCGTGTGCCGGCTGCCCCCTCCAGCTCGGGCTGCCCAGGGCCGAGGAACCTGGCACACAGCTCTGGGCAGCGGTGCCGGGGCTTCATTCCCCTCTCTGAAAAATTTCTCCCTAACATCTGATCTAAATCTCTTCCTTTATTTTGAAACTATTTCTCCTTGTCCTATCACTATCAAACCATGTACAAAATCAGTTTCTCTCTGTTTATAAGCTGCCTTAAAGTACTAGAAGGCTACAATAAGATTTCACTGGAACCTTCACTAAGCTAAGCAAAACCAGCTCCCTTTCTCCACAGGAGAGGTGCTTCAGCCCTTTGATTGTCTCCTTGACCCTCCTCTGCACCCACTCCAACATCTCCTCATCCTTATGCTTGGGGCTACAGGCCTGGATGTGGTACTTCAACTGGGAATTGGCAAAGGCAGAGCAGAGAGCAGTCACCTTCCTCACCCTGCTGGCCACCCCTCTTCTGATGCAGCTCAGGTTACTGTTAGTTTCTGGGCTGCAGGCACACACTGCTAGCTCATGTCCAGCTGCTTGAGCCTCAAGTCCTGTGCAACACCTCGTATGTGGCCTTGTTGAATGTCATGAAGTTCATGTGGACTCACTTCTCAAGCTTGTATTTAGATACAACCCTCTTCTGTTAAAATTACCCTTTTTCTTATGCCAATGAAAGGTATTGCAATGTCCTAGTTACGGCCTATCTGGAACCTCCTGATGGCTCTCAGCTTGAATTCTGAATAGAGAAGTTTCTCTCTGTCTTGGGAAACATGCCTTTATCGTGTTGGGTTTTTTTGTTTGCTTTTTTCTGGCAAGCAAAGTAGACAGAAGAGAAAGTTCAGGTCAGGATTGTAATAGAGCACAATAATCATTTACCACCTCTTTGTTAACAATCTTTTCAGATGAAGTTGGAGCTCTTGTTTTTGACATTGGCTCGTATACGGTGAGAGCAGGCTATGCAGGCGAAGACTGTCCAAAGGTAAGAATCTCTATGAACTCAGTGAAATTATAGCTGGGGTTTAGAACTTGTTTGTTAGTTATAAGCTTCTAGAATATACTGTTTATTACTCTTAGTATTTAAGGAAAACTGAATTTTTTAGCAAAAAAAAAAAAACCCACAACGAAAATGAATAATTTTTATTGATATCTTACTTTTTGCTTTACAGGTTGATTTTCCTACAGCTATAGGTGTGGTGCTAGAAAGAGACAATGGCAGCACTCTGATGGAGATAGATGGTGACAAAGGCAAACAAGGGGGGCCAACGTACTACATAGACACCAATGCCCTGAGAGTCCCAAGGGAAAATATGGAGGCCATTTCACCTTTAAAAAATGGAATGAGTATGGTGCTCTGTCTTTTTTACCTATTTTTAAGATACCATTGCTGGGCTACAAAAAGTCATAGCTTTCATGTAAACAGATGCTATACATGTCAACTGTTTTTTCCCTTAGAGAACAGGCTCATAAAGAAAAGGTTCTGCTTTCACTAAAGAAATTTTAATACAGTAATGAGCATTTTTATGTCTTAGTGGGAGACTTGTAAATTCTTGTTTATTTGATGGCTTTAATTTAGCTATCTCCTTTGATAAAACAATAAAGAAGCAATTTTTGGAAATAGTTCCTAAGATTGTTCCTGTAACGTGTATGGACAGAGGCTATCAGCCATCAGAATGGATACTTGATTTACAAAATACATAAAGCGTACATACTACGTCGGTGGACTTTTATTGTATAACTTATCTGCTATCATGATGCTTGTAGAAAAAGAGAGAATTTGGCAAAGCAGGAGGGGTATAGGTCTGCTGAGGACAGCTTTTGACTGAAGAGCTCTTTGGGAAAAAAAGCATCAGGAAACCTTTATGTGGATTTATGAAGTGGATCAAAAGTTAGAAGTAACTAATCTGCTTGCTTCAATGTCATTGCAGTTGAAGACTGGGATAGTTTCCAGGCAATTTTGGATCACACTTACAAGATGCATATTAAGTCTGAAGCGAGTTTGCATCCTGTCCTTATGTCTGAAGCACCAGTGAGTAAAAGAAGTTTTGCATTTTGAGGAGTCTTGATCTTGCTGAATCTACAGACATTAGTCTTGGAGAAATCCAACATTGGCTTGTAGGTTATGGCTGTTAAAACTGAAGTACTGTGTGGGTTTTGGAAAGTATTCTCAGTAAGAAACATGTCAAAAAATCCCAACAATTTGAAAGAATTTTCATGAGTTTTATTAGAAAGTACTTACTATGTGTTACTGTGTTTCATGTATTTAAAAAAAAGTATAAAATAAAAAATAATATTCTCACTTAACAGACTAGAATAAAAGCAAAAAGTTGTCTGCATGTCTCATGTTACACTTAATCCATCTTTGCATTCAGCCTACCATCTAACATGTGACAGAGTAACACGTGCAGTGGAGGAGTTTTAATTTCATTTTTGCAAGTGGCCCTGTAATGTAAGTGAAGTGGATGAATGCAGATTTCTGAAGAAAAATGTGAACAAAGTTACTGTCATTTAGTAATGGTCAGTGCAGTGGAAATGCCAAGTCACAGCCTGAAGCAGTGATTGAGCACCTGGTGGGAAGGCAGGGCAGCCCAGGAGAGCTCAGGTGCTTGTGATGTATCTGAGTGACCAGAAGGGGTGGAGCCAGGATGCACCCTTTCCCAGACCTCACTTAAGGGCTGGCAGTGAAGGTGAGGGTATTTTGCTGGGGATTCCTGTGTGCTTGAGGCTTCCAAAGATAAGTACCTTCTTTTCTTTCTGTGTCTATGGCTGCTGCGTTTGGGTTTGTCCTTATTTGCTGTAGCTAAAGGCTTTGCTGCTCTGTTATTGTTGCTGTGCTTTCTGTCACATTAGGGTGATACACTCGAAGGGCATAAGATCTGAAGGCGTTAAAGTAGACCTGTAATCCAAGTATTTTGCCTGCTTTCTGTATGTTTGCTTTCTGTACTTTTAAGTTGAAGGAATGCATTAATGTTTTCAAATAGTATTAGAATAATGAAGTTTTTAAGGAAATAAATTACTAGAAATCTATTTCTGGATAGAATTTTGATTTGATTTGTAATTCTGGCTTTAATAATTCCAATTACTACTTCACTTCTGTTTGCTTTCTTTTATTATGCTCAAATGATCCTCAAAAAAGCATGACTACTTTTTATTTACTTGTTTGTATTTTTTTTTTCTTCTTTTAGTGGAATACTAGAGCAAAGCGTGAGAAACTGACTGAATTGATGTTTGAACACTACAACATCCCTGCTTTTTTCTTGTGTAAAACTGCTGTTCTAACAGCGTATCCTTTGGAATGTTGTGCTGGGTTTTTAGTTGTTTTTTTTTTTCAATCTGTGGAAATTACATAAACCTATTCTAGGCAACTCCTAGTTTAACAGTGTCTAATTTTTCTTCCTTGAATTAGGTTTTCCATAAACATCTAGGGAGGAAGTAAACAACTTTGATTTCTGAGCTTTAAGTTCAGTTTTGAAGTTCTCCCAATCTGGCTGTTGCCCTTTGAGGTGATGTCTTTTTTTCTAATTTGCCTTTTTTTCTCCCCTCTCTTTTTTTTTTTGTTAGTTTGTTTTCATTTTATACCATGAGTAAGAACACTACAAGACCAAAATAGTGTTGTCCAAACTACTGAATACTGTAACTAGACAGTCATGTTCCCATAGCCTTAAGATGAGTATTTGTAGCTGTTTTGAAATAATAGCATGTTTTCACCTTTAGAATCTAAATAAGTTGAATGTGTATTGAGGTTACCAATAGTATTGACTTGGATTTATTGACTTGGATTGCCATCTTTGTCCAAAGCTAAGTGTTCTGTCGATGGGGTTGTGCACTCTGTAGGAAGGTGATGTGCCTGGGAGAATAGCAAACCGGATTGTAGAGCTGAGGAATTAAACACTGGCATTCCTAATTATGCTTAAATTGTATGTTACTTTTTTAAGATGAGAATTACGCTACTTTCTTTAATTGTTTTGACTAGTTTTGCTAATGGGAGATCTACAGGTCTCATCTTGGATAGTGGAGCAACACATACCACTGCTATCCCAGTGCATGATGGATATGTACTTCAGCAAGGTAAAGTCGTCTTGGATAACAGCACAGCAGTATCAAAGTCAAGTTGGCTCGTTTT